TGAAATGAGATGTATTCACCCAATTTCGTTTAAGGTGATGAAGGACTTCTAGTAGAATTTTCCCACAATGCTATGAGTAGAGCTGATGTTTCCATTGAATTTCACATAGCCTTGCTTTCCCAAAAGTTGTTCTTATCCAGGCACCAGTAGACTACAGTTTCGATTTCGCATCGGTCTTATTAAAACCCCTAGCGGTGTGTTTCGTAAAGTATGGATTCTTTATCTGATGATATGTGAAACTGTACAGATGAAAGCTCAGCATAGGTTCATCGGAGTCGCAGGACGGTGAGCCGAAGACTTCTTCGCACATTACAAATCGGCAATCATCTTACGGTTTCCAATAAGACCACATCACGAATTCCTTCCAATCAACTTTTCTTTGGAAATGTAAAGTAATTTAGCTGTGAAGTTGAAATTTTGTTCAGTTAAACTACCTAGGATAATAATTTATCGTTGGAATATTTATTTTGGCTTGACTTGAAATTGGAAATATGCGGCTGTACATTGTGGCGGAACTGTCTGATTCAACTTTCTATTTCAAAGGAAAATTTCTTTGGAGGATTCCGTTAACTCGGAAACTAAAAGAAGATTGCTTAGTAGGAAAATGTCCTCGGATTGACACACTGTTGAATCCATTTTAAGCTTTAGTATGCCATATAACAAATATCGTTAGGGCAAAAAAATTCATTACGCAATAACTCACTCAAAATCTAATACAATATATCATAGACTGTACTGCTTAAAAACAATAAGCATAATCTGAAGGTGAACTAAATTTAAAGGAATTCATTACAGCTCAAATAAAATCTACTTATTATTTTGAAGGAAATTTTGGTGAGAAGCGATTTGTGAATCAACTTTAGCGAGAGACGTAAGAGGATTGCGTTCAGTGGAAAACGTCAGATTGTTGGAAGACGTCCTAGGCGTATCGTTTTTTAAGTGTCTTGGGGCAACAAGAGATTGTGATCGTGGTAATTTCTATTCGAATGAGACCTACTGAAACAAGCATAAGACGTCATCTGAAAATAAAACTGCCTACAATGGTAATAGGTTCAAAACATATGACTAATACAGGATGCACAAAAGAACATTCCAGAAAATAGCATCTTTAGGATATGAGGAATTCAGATAAAAGCGTAACATATTTCCTACAATGCTGAATGACAGTGTTTTATTGTTCTTTTACTTTATTTGAATTGCATTTAGATGGGAGGATCCCAAATCACCTTCCGCCATCAAATTATTTGGATCCTCCTTCTCTTCCTAGCCAGAATTCCTTAATAAATTCTCCTCAGTCAGTCGACTCAACGACATCTCGATTTCCCATCAACGGCATGTCATCCCATGATGCGTCAGCAAAACACGAAAGCCTCTCATGCTCTCCTCACCTCATTACAACTAGTGCGGATGGCTGTGTTGTAATTCCAAAAAATGAAATCGGAGGAGAAAACAATTTACTTAATTCTCGTATGACTCCCGCCTTGCATCATAGCCCCACCGGTTGCAGTATAGCTTCTGTGAAACTCCGTAAGAAATGCGAATTCAAAGGGACTATCGAGAGATACAGCTTCAATGAGTTTGAGGCCAGCCGAGGTCAAAATGGGATTAAAAAATGTTTAGACCCAGCTTTTGGAGAAGGTAGGCCTGAAAATAAAGATGGTCCTGGGAAGGAGCTAATGGTAGCTGGTGCGGGAGAAGGCCAGAAAGACGCGGAGGCCGGAGAGAATCAGGAAGAGGAAATATTGATGCTGAAGGACGCGGATGTCTTCAAGTACACTGAGGATGATTTGGATAACCAGCGACACTCTGACTCTGTGAATATCGTGGACATCGAGCACCTCATGTCTCTACTTACGGAGGATGTATTCGATGACGATGTCGCCAAGCCAGCAAAGTCAGTTTCTTTGTTTCTCTGTATTCACTTAAGTTATTGCCTTTATTTAATATTTCATAAACTCTTGGCCCTCTTTATTCTTATTTGATATATTTTTACCTTATAACTTTTATTTTTTCAATCATTGTTTTCACTTGTTTACTCTTGTCTAAACTCCTTCAATCCAGTTGATCCTGTTCCTCTAACCTCACTCAAATTCATTGCCCGCAACTAGATTTCATTTATTTCCGTTGATACTTTTTTAAACACACAAATGTACGCGGTTCTGGTACACTTGTGGTTGGACTAAAGTGGATAAAGATATCCATTCCTACGAACAGACACTGCCAGATATATATGAATAAACTTGTCCGATCATTAGGCTAAAACCACATTAACCAGATTTTTGATAAAATTAAGCGTGAGAATCAAGTGCTTTCTTGTCGATTTATACGATTTTATTCTCGCTGCTCCGAGACAACATAGTTCAGCATAGATCCTACAGCACTATGTTTCTACTGAAGGTATGGATTTATGAAAAATACGCAAACTAACTGACGCCTTATGAGAAAAAAGCCTCTTGAATGCCTCTAAATTTGGGATCCTTGATGCTAATGTGGCCCTAGTTACAGAAAAGTCTGAATAAGTTTCTACGGACTCATCAGGTTTATTTTGTTTCATTTATTGTTAGCGTCTAAAATGAATGAGTAAGATAAGGCGGAAAGTCCGATTTCTCCCATAATTACGTAAAGCCCTTGAATAACTCATATTAAAATATCACTTAAAATCATTCATTGCGCTAGATATAGAAAGTATGGCCTAAATGCACAGGAAAATGGAAATATTTTTACATCGAGATAAAGTTAAAAGCATGTGTATTTGATGGCACCCTGTAATCAGGTCCAGCTTTTTATTCAGGCACTCACGTTTTGAATGCGCGTCTTATCTTTAGTAATATTGTCCATGTATTAGGTCATTATAACATAGCTCTGAAAACACGTTTATATTTGCTTAGTTGGAGTTGATTTGCATTTAGCGATTTTATCTGGCTCTGAGCACTTTGTGCAGAATCATAAACAGATTATGTTTGTTTTGTTAATGGCTACAAGTATAGCCCGTACCATTTATGAAATGCTTTACAAATTTCTTAAAGCTTCACAGGAAACTTTGTAACATTCTGCTAGATTGGTATTAAGTTTACTAACCTGAAATACACCACGAATGGAAAACTTGTTTCGACTGCTGCATCCTATCAGTAGCCCTCGAGCCAAGATTCTTTATTTAAAGTCAGTCCGCAATACGACACTGAAATGTAGTCATTAAGGCAGTCTTAGGGGCGAACTCTCTATATAGTTCATTGTAACTGTTGTAATAACTTGCCAGCCTATGGATGACCGGGTTAGGTCATAAGGTAATTAAAATTCAAAGATC